ATATATAGAAGTGGCAGCAGGGTGCTGCATTGTCTGCAACACAAGTGTATGTCAGAACACCTTAGCATTTTGAAATGCATGAAGTGCCCAAAACGACTCCCTCAATGCAAGCTAGCAGTGCTCATGTGTGGGAATGTCTCCAAAGGTCTCCAAAAGCCAAGCTTTATGGCTGTTGGGGAGCACCCCTGCGCCTTGGACATGTTTATTCTGTGCACACCCTGTTGTGCAAGATTAACTGCCAAGACAATTTGCACGATGCATCAACTTCAGCAGCCAATTTCCTCCAGGCAAACCAATGCAGCACACTGCGAACTAACCTTGGCACCCAATGTGCAGGGTTGTGGGTCGTCGATGGCGAGTGGTACACAGACTTCCAGTTCAATCCACAGCCATGGACGTACATGTCAGAAAGGAACTTGCGAAACTTCCTTGCCTCCAGACGCGAGGTGTCCTTGTGCATCGGGCACTGGGAGAGCACTTGCTGCCCACCAGGAAGGGTGGCCAAAATTCGTGACACGGTTTCGCCCAGGCTCGGCTGGGGTCCAACCTCAACAATGGCATCGAATTTTCCCTGCAATTGACACACGCACTAGCATCTTTTCACCATTTCTGTCCTCACCACTGTATTCCTTTTGCACACAGGTGGTGTCGAAATCACACTCCGATGGTTCACCAAGTCGGCCCCTGGTGTTGCCCATACAACCTTTCTTCCAACAACGATGGCTTTCTTGCTGGTCAACACAAGGATCCGAATTCTCCACTCAGCTTTGTCACTACGGCAACTGGATGTGGATACCCAATCACAATGAGGATGAGCATCACCAGACCAGATTACGATAGAAGTTGTCACATTTCCTGCCAGGAGAATGGAACATTATGAATGCTGGTGACACTGCAGACAACAGATGGCATGTACTGCACAAGAGGTGTTGCTTCCTTGTTGTACAGAGACCACTACTTGCCTTTTGTTGCAGAATATTGTTCTGCTGTGGATTGTTCTGCACAAAGAGATTTCTGCTGGTTCAATTCATATATATAGAGCTCTGATACTGGCAACTGCTGTGTATGAACTGACGATGAATACTCCTGCCTTCAGCAAATGTGTACTTACTGATCGGCCTGAGTCTGCTGAGAAGACACTGCCCACAGCAGCCACCACTGCAGCATAGAACTCCACAGGCTTGTGCAAGTTTTCCTCCCAATAGTGCGAATCCAGCTTCCGACCACTGACGCAAGCACCAGTCACTGTGGAGAACAGGGGAATCTTTGTGCGTTCATATGAGAACTTGCTTCCAGAATTGTCCAAGGAGCTTTTAAGTTCTGAAGCAGCTGCTGTCAGCTGATGGCTGTGAAGCGCAGCACCTGTCTGGACGACCCTATTTTCAACACAATTAACACAAATGGTTGGTGTGAATCCAAGGAAAGGAAATCCAGACAGCACATGAGCATGAACAGGACTCTCCACAAAAGACAGCGTCTGTCAACACAACATGTCAAGTCCTGTTACATCTGCACCTGCACCAATCGCCTTGACCGTGATCATGGGATGTCAAGTGCTCAAAGCACAACAGGAAGTGCAGTGTGTAATCTCAAGGTCAAGCAGCCCAAATGAAAACACACAAGTGGCACGCACAACTTGCCGCTCCTCACCCTACCGTGCAGGCACCTTCCTCGATGCACACCACGACTGGGCGATCTCAATAGCAGGTTTGTCCCCACTCAATGTCACGCCCAGCGGTGAGTCGATGGTGGCAATACAAATGCGCCCATGTGTGACTTCATCAAGCTTCAAACCCCGCAGCATTGCAGTGGCATCCTCTCGAGACAAGCCAATAGTGAGCATCAAGGGTTCAAACTTCCCTTGGCCGAATATCCTGACTCCCAGAGACCTCTGGTGTGCAACCCACATAGCAGACTCCAGGGAGAGCGCCCCAGCACAGTAAGCTGCTGCGACCTCGCCACTTGAATAGCCCAAGGCACCTTTGGCATACAGGAATCAAGCGTATTCAGGTCGCAAAACATCCAAAGCGTGGGTTGCCTCCTTTCTTATCAGGACCAAGGCAAATAAAAAAAATTGGTCTGGAAAACTCAACGACCTCAGCATGCATTTTTGAGTAGAGAAACACGGCTATGCAGAAAGGCATTCAATGCAAATTTCGCGCCCTTTTTACCGGTGTCCTTGCGTTGACCTTCTGTCAGATGCACCAGCACCATATTGTGCCTGAGGTATACGGACTGGGAAATAGCACATATGGCGTGCGGTGCAGTGGCGGGCAAATGGGCAAACATTCTTGCCAACTGGACAAAGACAACTTCTTGCAGACAATCCTGACTATGCACTACCATCATCCACAAGCCGATGCGCACTCTTGTGCTACTTTCTGTCATAAACTGAGCTTGTTTTCCACGAAATAAATACTGATGGCTTGCGGGATGCCCACGTCACGCACCTGCCGCATCGATTCCCTTAGACCGGAGGAGATCCGTCAGGGCGATCTGCAGTGCAGGCATCACGACCATGGCCTTTGGAGCCGAGGTGATGCTGCTGTCTGCTCCCTGCTTGTGAAGCTCGTCCACTATGTTGAGGGACGATTCCCAACTCTTGACGGCAGCCGAGCACCGGTCCAAAGAAGCACGAAAGACAGGCTCATCCCGGTACAGACCAACGCCCATCAGAGGATATGCGGAGGCTAGGTCAGGGAAAAGGAACAAAATGTTGCTGTGCTTCACCTGTGGGCCCCCCTGGCTCATGGTGCAGACACTGAGATTGCTGGTGCCCGCGTCAGAGCTTCCCTGAGACGCGACTGACCCACCTGCATATGCCAAACCAGTCTGACTTTGCAATGAGCAGCAGCACAATGCTTGGCATCAAACTAGCAGGACATTCATCCTTCCTTGCTGAGTTCATTGATCAATGTGCCAATTGCACATCCCTTCCATGCAACCTTGTCAGCTCATTGGGGGCTGAATTTGGGATGAAACATTGCCACAAATGAGGTCACTGGCAACAGCTGCAAACACCAGAATGTGGAACAGCCACCTCAACATACAGCCTCACCTCTGAGCTGCTGGAGCGCTTTCTCCAAATTTACAGTGAGCTCATTCACAGAGTCTCCCAACACACATATGCGATGCTCCAAATGCGACCGACCATGTATTGCGGCCTGCAGTGTGGACTTCAGGGTGTCTGAGTTCTCCAGGAAGCGAGCCTGGTTGTACTTGAGGAACTGCACCCACAGCCCCACCCACTCAATCAGTGCCTTCTTTGTGTGTGCACTGAGGGGGAGCACGAGCTGCGAGGCATCCACAGCAGGCCCCAAAGCTGGCCTGTCCCTGTGAACGAATTCTTCCAAGATGACATGAGTGTTGCTGCCACCAATGCCAAAGCTGTTGATGGACAGCCGGCGTGGCATGTCCCTGGGTGGAGAGGGCCACTCAAGCGTCGTCTGCGGCACAACTATGCCATAGTCACCCAGCGGAATTTCTGGGTGCAGCTTCGAGAGGTGGAGGCTTCCCGGGACCTCCTTGTGGTACAGCATCAGTGCACCTTTGGCTACTGAGCATGCACCGGCTGCCCCTTCTGTGTGCCCAATTTGTGTCTTGATGCTCCCCACTGCTAGTTTCATGTCTGCTGGTCGACTGCCACGACCTAGAAATCACACACAGTAGACTGTCAGAAGCACAACATTGCTCCTGAGCGCACACCATAATAAGCTTGTGGTGTTGATGCATGCAATTCGAAACCTTGGCCCCTTGCCGTCCTTGCAGTGTTTACTGGACTTGAGGATGGGCTGGTTGCGATCTGCTTTTAAGTGCTGGGACGCCTTTTGCATGTACCAAGTTGTTCGTACTTGGTGAAGCACTTTTGCAACAAACTGACTATTTCGATATGTTCAGCGCCCTGAAAACCAAGACTCACCAAGTCTTTGATCGGAGCAAGCAAATTATGTCAGACATCAATGCACAATTCATGTCCTTGGCACTCTGGAAGATGAAGTATCTGGCTGCCTCTGAAACCGCACATGTGTGCATTCATTGTTTCCCTCCAGCAAAAAACGTTGTGTGAAGTGCAGAAAAAAGCTAAGCCGCCCAGACTCTTCCATACGCATTCTGCTGTATTTCTACTATCAGCATCACTCTGCAGGGAATGAGCCTCGTTGTTGTGCTCTTTGGTGAATCTGCCTGCTCACCGTGGATCATCGCAGCATGCACTGCAGCTAATTCAGTTTTATCCCCAGCATCAGTGCCTGTTCCATTGGCCTCCAAGTACTGGGTATCCCTGGGGTCGAGACCATTGTCTCTGTAGATCTTTTCCATCAGTCTCTGCTGAGCCTCCATGGAAGGGTAGGTCGCAAAGTCCTTGGCCCCGTCATGGCTTGACATTGTGTCCACAATGGTGCAGTAGATAGTGTTTCCATCACGGACTGCGTCACTGATGCGCTTCAACACAATTGCCACCACGGCCTCGCCCCTGCCATAGCCGTTGGCCCCAGCGTCGCAGTACTTGCATCGGCCGTCCGGGCTGACCACGCCCAGCTTTTGGAGGGCAATGTTGAGGTAAGGTGCAGCGAGGAAATTCACGCCCACCTGCAGCATCATTCGAACACAGCTGCTCAGCTGGTCAGTGGTACCTTTCAAGGCGACTGATGGTGGCACAGGTCTACAGTCAACCGCAAACACGACTTCAGCAGAAAGGAAGTCAGCAATCAAGCCAGTGTCAACATGATTGTGCAGATATATGCGCGTTGGGCACCATTTTCCCAACCAGTCCATCGCTTTCCTGTGCGCAGGGCTTGCAAACAAAAACGTCGTGCCATAAGCTCAAGCAAGGCCCACAAATCCCGCTCTCCAACTCCCCAGCAGGTGCAGCAAATGGCCAGCAGACAAGGGCACGCGCCAAACACAGCGCCAGGCCTGCACACAGGCAGCGCACAACGCGGTACTGCACACCCCTGCCGTTCGCGCGTTTTGGCCACCGTTCTCATGCCAGTGCCCCTGCGGCCCCTCTTCGGCCCAGCCCCCGAGCAGGCACCCCGGACGTCCGAGCGCGGCCAAGACGTCCCGCCGACCGCACCCACCACGACGCCCATCTCGGACTTCCCCTGCTGCAGGCCGTCCACCGCGAAGTCCAGCGCCTGCATGGAGCTGGAGCACGCCGTGTCCACGCTGAGCGACCGCCCCTGGAAGTTGAAGAACGACGACAGGCGGTTGGGGCACATCGTCCTCTCATGACCGATCGCCGCCCCTCCGGACGCCGCACTCAGCTTGTCCATGGCATCCTCGTTCTCGGTGTGCGTGGCGCCCACGACAACATCCACCTTGCGCCCGGAGTACTCCTTCGGGTCGATCTGCGCGTCCCAGAGCGCCTCCACCGCGCACTTGAGCGCACAGCGCTGCTGGGGGTCCATCGTCAGCGCCTCGTTGGGCGAAAGCCGGAAGAAACCCGCATCAAACTCCGTCATCTTGTCCTGCGCCACGAAGTGGCCCCTCGCGACGGATGTCTTGCCAAACCTCGCGGCGTCCCTGTCGTAGAAGCTCTCGTTGGACCACTTCCATGCCGGCACGGGGCCGCTGGCGTCCTCGCCGTTGCGCAGCAGCTCCCAGAACCTGTCGGGCGTGTCCACGACCTCCCGCCCAGGCACCAGCAGGCCCAGGCCGCAGATTGCGACCCGCTCCCTGCCGCCCTGGACCGCCATGCCGCCCCTCCCCTCCCGCCAATCGCACCCTCCTCCTCCCTGCAGTCTGGAACACGACCCTCTCACCAGGGTCCATCCGACATCCGCGAGCCAAAAGAGCGCCGAACAAAAGCCCCCCGCCCCCCACGCCAAAGGAGGTCCCAAGGGCGCGAACTGACACCACGCTGTGCAGGACAACCACCCCCGCTATTCCCCCCCTCCCGCCCAAGCGATGAGCCCACGCCGCCTCTTTCTCCACCGTGACAATGGGCCAGATGCCCATTCCGCCGACTACTGCACCGGCCAACTCACGTCACGCCCCTCCCCCCACGCGCGCCGAGCGCCCGAGTACGGTAGCGCAACCGTCCCCCCCGCTCACCGAAGGGTTCCCGATAACTCGCGATCGGCGCCCGCGATGCTCAAACGCCGCGACCGCTCGGGGAGGTCTTTCGGTGGCCCGGGCGTGGACCCTACGGGACCCTTTCTTGTTTGGCGGGCCGCGGGACCGACCGCCGATCGGGGCGCGCCGATCGGGTGGCGCCGATCTGCGTCAGTCCGGGACCCCCGCCAACCTCGTTTTAGAGTCGCCTGAGGGGCGCTGTCACCTACTCCTGTCGGCGCCACGTAAGGCGCAGCCGACCGGCCGCCCCCGTCAAGAAAATTTCGCACTGTCGCATCTTCTAGGAATCCCGTACATTGTTCCCAAGGCCGCCTTACTTGACCCTAGTACTTCGCCCTTGTACTTGACCCTTGTATTCCGGGGCCTCGCGTCGATGCACAAGTGCAATCGGGTGGGTTGGGTCTTTTTACTGCCGGCTGCGGGCTGCTGGCGGGTGGATCGTGGTGCTGTACCGCTGAAAGGCGGGTTTTGTCCGACTGAGGGGACGGGGGGAGTGTGGCCAATCAATCGATGGTCGATGGATGACTGGAAAAAGACAGGAGGACCAAAGCCGCCTGCGAAATCGGCTTACAGTTTCGATGACTGCAGCAGAAAGGAGGATGAAAGCGTATGCGAAACCGGCAGACAGCTTTCAAGGGCGGGCGGCAGCAGTTTGGTGTCAGTTTAGGTGTCACAAACATGGAGATGCCCCCTTCCACCACTGTGCACACCCACGTGAGGGAAAAGGAAAAAAGGGCATCTGCTGTGGAAAAGTCACGATCGGCACGCGCTGCGACAAAATCAAGGTTGGCGTATTCGGCAGTCGCGGTGAGGCAACCGTACTTGGAGGTGCCGAACCACGCACCGTTCCGTCGACGGTGGCAAAAATGTGACGCTCTTGGGCTGCGTCGCTTCGACGCGACAGATGTCGGGTGCCGCAAACCCTTGCGTGAGGCGGCGGTACGGTGCACGGGTACGCGCAATGGCCGTACACGCCCCCCGTGTACTGCCTGAAAATACAACCGCGAATCGCACTGCGCCTCTTCGGGCGCCCGCATCTGCGCCACAGAGGGCGCATCCGCCAGGCTCCCGCAGATGGGCGTGGGCCGGCTTGCCTGACCGAACCGTGGTCACTCTGCCCACCCTGTCCACAAAATCACCCCCCACCCCACCCGCCTGCACCCCCCACCCACCCAACAGGCCAGCAGCAGCGTATCAGGAGTATTCCGAGTGCGTGTTACGTAATGTGCCACTTGCGTACTGTCATTATGAGTAATTCTCCCACAGATCCTCGTGACTGGCGAGTCGTCGGCCATCCGTGCGTGGATGGCGACTGTGCAGTCGACGTGACGGCCTGTTGTCTCATCTTGCTGAAGCATTAACGGCCGCGAGGTGCCGTGGAATCGAGGCAGGCAGCAAGCATATGCGGACGTGTTGGACATCTTGTACAAGATGCACCTTGTACTGATGTCTGTGGGAAAATATTCCGAATACCCCCGCGGGGGTAGAGAGCCTATGTTTGATGGCTGCATGTCACCGACCGGTGACATGCAGCTTGGTCACACTTGGTCGCCACCAAGAAAATGGGGCGAAAACGCTGATTGGCTTCGGGCAACAAGACGGGTTATATGGCATGATTTCGCCTCATTTTATTAAAGTGATGATCGTATTTTGTTGAACATAATACGATGTTCGCATTACGACCACAGGCAGGAACTGCGCGATTGGACAGTGATCGCAGGGGCACGATTCGAGCGAGACTGAACAAGGCAGCGCCGCCAACAGTGGTCGAACGAAGACAACTTCGAGTGCAAGCTTATGGGCAACTGAAGGCAAAACCGAAAGGGATTGAAAGCAAAATATTTGCTTCTGTCGCCCCCCCGCACATGAGCGCCGCAATGGCACAGCATTCTACTGCAGCTTCAGCTGGGTCCAAGGCGCGGTAGAACAGCTCGGCAGACCGTTAAATTGTCAGAATGAAAGAGAATCGACAGCGCTCTCGACGGCCGACCGTGCGCAAAAAAGCCAAAGCCTTTACTCTTTCGCCATATTGGTTGATGTCGAGAATGCGATATGGAATGTCGATTCGGTCCAACCGGGGATGGGGACGTCCTTGGGACTGTGAAGCTGTGTGAAATACGCTTCACGCAGTATATACGGTGCGATGTATACACGCAGTACATGCACAATATGTGCACAGTGTAGGCGCAGTGCATGCAAAGTGTACGCATACACTATATGCTGTGCATTTGCTCGGCATATAATGTGCGATGTGCTACAACGAGGCTGTCTGCAGCTGTCCGCGCCCCGAGGGTACGTGAGGGTAAATGTGGCTTCTCAAGTGCGTGACAATGGGAGATGCAGGACGCAACCTTCGAGGCGTGTGTTGCGGACCAGGCTGCTGTTGCCACATATTGTACCACATGGAGGTACGGCAGCCCAGACATTATACAATCGCAATGGGCGGATGCCCTTTGAATGGCATTTTGTGCAGGGCATGTTTTGGCAGGTATGCAAGAATGGTTGGGATGCTTTCCGACTCCTGCGCCGTACGGCGCGTTTTCGGCAACAATTGCATACGCTGGCCTTGTACTGCAAAGCAGATCATGGATCTGCCTCTGCCAAATGCTGTCAAATCGCCGGTTTGACCACCACCAGGAGCGTGCTGTTGTTGTCGAAGCCGCGTGATGGCCCCTCTTTCTCTGCGTGGAACAATACATAATCAAAACGATTGAGTCGCAGTGTTTCTCGCTGTCTGACAATCGCTTACAGCAACTACACAACGTGTCAAAAAATGCAATGCCCGACGTCGGAGAGCCAGAAGTTCTGGCCCAGAACAAACTACCGCTGGAAATTTAGTGAAGGAAGAAAGCACAACTCAAAGGAAATTCCATTGCCTATGTCTGTAATAGAGCTCTGAAATCGTACATTGCTTGTTGGATGCTTTGTCAGTCACACTTGTCTGCCATGTTTCATATTAATCATGGCACGAGTGACAGTCCCCGTTTGGGGGCCAACCGCGTAGTAACGATCGAATGATCGTACACGATTTTTACTTGGTTTTGCAAGACTTTTACACTGTTCGAATCCGCGTGTTTTGGCCGATTTTCACTTGTGTTATATATTTTCTTGCTGTTGTACGCTCTGCAATTTGCAGCAGCTGCAGCTGCAGCAGCTGCAGCGCCTCCCAATCTGGTCGGCCCGGGCTGCCCGCATTAAGTACAGAAAAGGGGAGACTGCGCTGTGTTTTAGGAAGACTCGGAGGCGGGCATCTTGGGGTAAGCTGAACTCTAGGGAGGCTCCGCGCAAAACGAACCAGGCCTGCAGGCCGGGCGACCCGGCCCAAGTCAGACCCGGAGGCACGACTGAAGGCTGCCAAAAAGCGCGAAGCTGTCTTGGACAACATCCGAAAGAATGGCAGGCGTTGATGCAGTATCGTGTGTATAGTATCATTGCTGCAACGTGGAGCAATGGTGCAGCAGGACCTGTGCATCAGAATCCGCGCAACGTTCGAGCGCGTATCAGCGCTTCTCAATGTTGATATATGGGGACTCGCTGGAGAGCTTCATGGCATTGCATCAATGACAATGTAGCCTAAATATTGCATCAACATCTGATAATTTCCCAGATGAAATGGAATCAAGATGTGTGCACGAACATCACGGGAACTGGAACGTTTGATAATTGACAGGGATTTCTACGAATGATGGGGAATTCGGGAGTCGTGCATGAGACATGATGATGATCATGATGAACGCCCTTGCGGGCAACGTGAAAATTCAACAAACTGCTCATGTCACGTGACACTGCTGTGCTAAGATAGTCAAACAGCTTCCCTCTGCTGGCAGTGTGTAGAGGGGACATGGGATGTCGAAATTGATAAGAGGAGCTGTATTGTGGCCATCCGACATATGATATCATCATATGGTGCAGTCGTACAATGGGGAGGCCCGAGACCATGGGCATGGTACATAGCTGAGTGACCAGACATCATCGAGCAATGGTACTGGTTTCAGCGCTTGCCCAGAGGTCATTCCCCAAGCGATGATCCTGGGCAACACAGCGCAGCCATTGGAGTTCGCCATGGACCATTGGCACCCCCTTCTGTCTTCATTCAACGCACGGGAGAATCCCCATTGCCGACACATCTGCAGCACATGGCCACCGCTGTCCTGCATTTGTAAGGCTTGAAACCATTTTCGTTTTCGTGCTCGCCTTCGTTTCTGTTAATCCAAAATATTGCATCACGTTTCGGCGTCCAGCTGCCTCCCCCGTCCTATCACTCCCCTGGCTTTGTGCAGGGCTGTGCTTCGATTTGGCTGCTGACAGGCGGGGAGCTGGAGACAGGCGCGGCGATGCAGTGTTATGGAATGGCTGCGTCATGTGTCATCCTTTTCTTTCGAACAAAACCGCGGGCTTGAAGCCATTGCTCTACATTGGCAGTTTGGTGCAAGGGCTTTGCTTTTCCATAATACGACGCTTGTCATATTGCGACAAAGTGACAAATACATTTAATCAAAGGGGCAAATACATAATTTTGCTATATTATGACCAAACTGCACTCGTCGTCCTACGACAAGTGTAGTTGCAAAGGGGATGTAGGTGTCATGCGGCATGTGCGTCACGTTCCTTGTGCCGTTTCGTGCTTGCGGCCGTACAGGGACGGATGTGAGCGTCACAAGGTCATGGGCCCGTAGATTGATCATGTCAAGGCGGCCGTCGCATTGTTCATCCTTGGGGCGAGTTTTTGCAATGGGGCCTCCGTCGTGGCCCACTCTGCACTGCAGTTTGTGAGCTTGAAGGTGATCGACTGCAAAGCCCTCGTGATCATCTTCGCTCAGTGAAGTTTGTCGATGGTATGGTTGCGACGTTGGAGCGCTGATTGATCACCAGGGTGGCGGGCACATTCTACATACCTCTTTGGGTGAATCTCAGGAAGCGGGCCATCGCTGAGGTTACCGTAGCTCGAACAACTTTGACTGAGATCTGAGCCGCACATCAGACGATGGTGTTTGCACATTTCTGCACCTCGTTGGTATCATTCAAGTGGGGCTGCATGTCCTGGCCTCCTGCAAAACCCTCCCGCACTTGTGGCAGTTGTGCTCCATACATGGTGGCATTGGGGTGATTGCGTTTTGCACAACCTCAAACCAGCGTTACTGGCCGGTAACGTCGGTGCAAAGTTAGGCAAGAGAGAATTGCCCCAGGGTCACCACGCATGAACCTGAGCCTTCCCATTGGGGGGCTCAGACAAGTAAAATTCCATGAATTACAACTCTCAGAACAGCCCCGGCAATCAAAGCCTCTGCACCTTGCAGGTGATGACGGGGGCCGCAAATCCAAACATTGTATGTTCAATGTCCCACGAATATTCTCAGTACGTACCCTTGACGCTAAGCAATTGATAACCAAAGAACAAATTCAATGGTCAGATTCCAAGTCACACATGGCCTGACCTACAAGATTCTTCGAGCGTTCAGCTTCCAGCTGACATCCCAAAACAAAGAGGCAGAAACTCGTATTCTGGCATCCATGCAGGCAATGCGTGCAGAACCCCAGGATGTCGGACCGCCAATGGATGCAGGGGTTGGCGACATTCTGTGCAGGAGACATTGTGGGAAACGCACTGCAGAAGTGCGGATTTCCCACTTAGAGCATCTTTATCAGTGGGTGCTATTGTCCCGGCGGAGCTATTCGGCTATCTGAATAGCACCGCACGTCAAAAAAACATCATTAACGGTTGGGGAGCAATAGCACCCCAATAGCACCCCAGAGCTATTCGGCGCCGAGCGGCGCTATTTTGGCTCCGAATAGCACCGCACGGGGCCGAATAGCACCCCAGAATAGCACCAGTGCTATTCGCACAGAACATTGTAGTGTTGTTGTGGTGTTATTCGGCATAGGCATAGCACCCACCATTGCGGATGCGCGCAGGGGAGCAATAGCACTGGTGCTATTCGGCAAATGCCGCATTAGTAAGGTAGCTCTGCAGCCAATGAGAACTGCTCCTGGATAGCTCCGCCGGTGCAATAGCACCGACCGATAAAGATGCTTTTAAAGAAATGGGACATTGATGCGCAAAATGACAACAAGCGTCTCAAGCCAATAGCGTGCAGTGTTGTTAATTGGCTGACTGCCGTTCGGAAGGCTGCTCACCATTAGCCTGTCGCCTACGGATCTGGCAGCGGCATCTGGGCACAAGGTGTGCCGCTGCATGAACCTTCAATGCCAGATGGCCTGCATTCCAAGGTGCTACGCATCGACTGCCCTTTGGTTATGTTTCAGCTCGTCCAAGTGCTTCTGGCACATGGCAGACCACATGGCAGCGCACATGGCAGCGCGCATGGGAGACCGGCTCCTGCACATGAGGGCAAAGGGCCCCACCTTCGTATCGCTCGTGAGGGTGACCCAAATTGTGTCCCAGCGAAGAGCACAAAGGCCATGTGTTCAGCACGCCTCAGTCCTCCTCAACTGTGCCAACCAGTGGCGATGGCTGGCTGCTCCCATCCAGCGCAGGTTTTTCAACGCGACCTCGAGGGAATGAAAGTGGCGGTTTGCATTGGTCCCCTAGACCACCCACCGTGTGCTCGTACTCGTGTCCTGGCGAACGTTAATGTGGAACAAAAAGAAATGGGTGATGATGGTTCAGCACAATGCGGAAGATTAACCTCTTGTAAAAGCGACACAACGCTTTCGAAATGCGGCAACGCTAGATATTGTACGGTAGGTGTGTGTCGAATGTGGCGTATTACGCTCAACAAACATTGTCTCCTTGTGGAGTTGGGAAAGTTCTGCAGGAGCAAGGAGATTGTGTGGATACCTACGCAATGCACTGCGTTCACACCAACCCAACCCCCGTCTGAAGGAAAAGAGGGAAAGAAGGGGTAGGGAACGCACGGGGAGTTATGCTTGACGACCAAGTTTCGTTCCATGAGGCTGTTCAGCACAATCCTAAAACTTGTTCCCCGTCGTGGCAGTCACTATGCGCACGTGTATTCAAGTGGCTGTTGCCTGCGGTACTGAGCAACTCGCACCTCTGCCAATATCAAAAAGTCGCACGTGCTGTGTGACAGTGCGCATGGGCCCTGCAAGCTGCAAGCAGCAAGCACACTTGTAGAACTCGATAAAAGTCCCTGATTCAAGCAGTCACACTGCATATTTACGAAAGGGACATCAGGTGAGCACCTATGTGAATGACAAGCATCTCGAGGGCCTCATGAGGCTGGTCAGCTTTGGAATCTTGTTCACAGGCAGCTCAACATACAACGGATGGCCACTCTACATGCGTCTAGCCAGTGGGCGCTCGACCCTCAGGTCTCATACGAAACAAGCCTTCCAAGAGCTGTCAACTCAAGCTGCGCCCTCAATTCCACCCTTCCAGTTGCCCCTTCAATTTTCTTCGCAGGGCATCCTTCTTTGGAAGGAACCACCCCAAATACCACAGGCAAAAGTATCCTTCAAATACCAGTTCATCAGGCACTGTGCACATGACCTGTAAAAAATAGGTGACCCCTCAACTGTAGACCAACCAAAGCTCTGGAGCAGCCGTACAAAGATCATTCAGGACGCGAAATTTACAACTGCAAACGCCTCTGGCTTGTGTGCAATGCCGCTGGGCTGGGCTCCTGTGCAGCATTCTTGCAGTTGAAAGGCATCTTTCCACTACCCTACCCTTTTCTCCCCTGCTGGAAGGCGTTGCAAGGATGGGGCGAACATTGCGATGAGACATGTTTGCTCAACACTGAAAGAAACGCAGCAGTCCCGACATGACATAAAGTGCACTTGCCCAGGACAGAAAGCAACAGCACTGCTGCATAGCTGCAAGTGAGCATGTGGACATCAGGGTGTGTACAACTTTCACCCATCTTATTTCTGTGAATGCACATTGAAGGGGGAGACACATGGCATTGATGTCTTGCACTAGGGTGACAGCTTGCCAGGTATGGGTGTTCAAATTCGACCCAAATGACTGCTGTTGCAGCACTGGAGCACAGCTATCAACCCAGGCACAAAACACAGAGAACAAACATGTGGTTTCAAATACCTTTCAAGCCTGCATCAGCCCTGGATGGCACCATGCATGCCCCACATTATCTCACCGGCCTGACCATAACACAACATGGCTCTGCATCCTCCCATGTGAAGGACAAGGCACGCAAAAGTATAGCACTTCAAGTGGCTCCCACAACATAACAAAAGCACCGTCAAGCCTGCAATAAAAAACACAACACACAGCTCAGCTTTGATTGCCAACTCAGCACAGCCAAATCTCGTGATCTGACTAGGCTCAGCTCATGATTGACTGCTTTCACAGAATTGCATTTCAGCAGTCTGCTAATCAGGCACAAGGAATACAGTGTACCTGCTGTTTTGCTATTCCAAACTATCACATCACATTTACGACTTCAGGTGCCACTAAAAGAATACAGTACCTGTTAGGCATCAAGAAACTGGCTTGGGGACACTACATTCCACAGTGTTTGAATAGTGTTTGAGAAGATACCAAGTGGCACCACTTAATTGCTGGAACAAAATGTCATTCATGGCTTTTTCAGATAACAATCCTTGACAATCCAAGTGTGGCTTGCTTAAAATGGGTGCTGGCAAGAGCACTGTGTGACAGTCGCAGCTCAACAAGGTTGGCAGGTCTGCAGTCCTTGGCATAGGTGAATCTATTGCAGTGTCAAAAAGTTGTCTGATTGAGCAACATACCAGTCTCTGCTGTGATAGTTTGCCGCCATGACCAGGGGACGTTGAAGATGTACACAGCAAACAGAGCGTATTACCATACATCTACCTGGAATGAACAGATACTCTTGCTGCAAGGCAACACCAAGTGGCAATCGCACCACCATTTAATAATGGCCAAGTGATCAAGTGCTGATAAAATACCACAATTCTTGTTGATACAGCATAAAGGTGCCAAGATTGCAATTGCTCCTCGCCCTCTCCCCACACACAACGCAGGGAAAGGGAACCCACCGAGCTGTGAACAATGTACAAACACAGAATCCATAGGCGTTTGCCAACATGCCCACAGCCACATCTCCACTAGATACGTGGTTAAAGGCAGTTGCTCGTGCTTCATCTGCTCACATTTGTGGTAGGGGACTGTGTGGCCCTCAATCACGAGTGCACACTCAGGGGTGCTAGACAATTTCACTTGGTGACTGCCCTCACCCCTATCCACCCCCTTTTCATTGCATGCTGCACCCTGGATACCTGGTTTCTTGAGTGGAAAACAACAGTCCTCCATTACTCCATACACACCAAGCAGACTGATTCATTACACTTTTTAGCACTGTCTTCTCGCCAATTGTGCAAAGTCCAGTAGTGCAACGTGTCTGATGCTTTAGGACTTGCTGGATATCAAAAAAGTAGGGGCCAAATGTCTGCTGGAATACGAATTTTTTTCTTTTTTTCTGTTTCTCACGACTATTCGTCACAAGCAGCACTGCTCAACAAACCATTCCCTGCTGAACAGTATTGTTTCAGGCACGAATTGTGGAGTCCTTTTCATCACATGGACAAATTTCCTTGTTTAAAGTATAGATTATGCAAATTCTGAGCAATACAGATGTGTTTTGGGCATGCCACAGTTTCCTTGTAGCGATGCATGCATGATGTGGGAATGGAAGCTGGGGTAAACATAGCGTGTGCAAGAGCACATGCGTCACAATAATGTTGAAATACTTGACTGTAACATGTTTGCATGCAGGCAAATCAAGCACTGTTGCAGCAAATACCGCAAAGTAGGATAGCCACACGAGTGATAAATCACATGGCACAATATCGAATGGTGCCATTGGCTCTCGAATGGCACTGCAAACAGAGATGGCCTTGCTCTTTGCATTCACTGGACAAGACTTTGTTGTGTTGGCAGTCACTGACCAAGTTCTGTGAAACATTTTCACTGGCGTACTGGGCACACAGAAACAAGAGGAGAGACAGAAACCGAGGCAGAAAGCGACTTGGGCAGCCAAATAAATAACAACGTACGTTGTGAGCACAGTCGAATCAAAGAACCAGAAACCAGCTGCACAGGCCCACTGTTTGCATGTTCATAAGCAAACATAGCAGTGTTTCAAAATTTCTGCCATAGTCCCTAGTAAAATCTCACATTGATCTTGAAGGGAAAAGTGCCTTGTATGTACCAGTCAATGGCTGCCACGGAGTGCTCCTCACAGAACAGCTGCCCACAGGCACCAACCATATTCCCTAGTGCGACTCAGCATAGATCTTGATCGCGAGACAGCCTGCTGTACATGATTCCATATCTTCCACAGATTGCCCCTGACCTGGTACTTCCATACCCATGCCCATCTGCTGCAGACTTTGCGATATTCTAGTGCCCCAGCTTCAGAGGGAGTAAGAGCCAGAGAATGTAACCGCATAGGCGACTGCTGTAGAAAGTGTTACCACCAGAACCAGTGTGTGGGCTGTTGCTGGGGGGACACGCCCCATTGCAATCGACTGAGCATAGTTGCGCTAAGAGCCCTGCATAGGGAATCGTGCTACTGGTGGACTGCTAGTGGCAATTGTGCCCTCTCCTCTCATAATATCTTGCGAGTAGCGCCCATAAGCACACGACCTTGATGGCTTCTCTCGTGGCGGGCGGCCGTGCTCCATTCCGCCACTCACTCCAGGCGGACTCACGCCGACCGCTCCCCCTCCTCAACGTTTCGGCTCGGCAACATCGCACACCCACCCCATTCCGCCCCACCCCCGGCCTCAGTAATACGCCTTCGGCTTCCTGTCCTTCCTCTGGGCCTGCAGCGCCACCAGCAGCGACTTCTCCCCCACCTTGGTGCCGTTCATCGCCGCCACGGCCTTCACCGCGGACTGGTTGTCCAGGTAGTTCACGAAGCCGACCCCCCTGCCCTCCCCCGCATCGTTCGTCAGCAGCTTCACGCTCGACACGGCCCCGTAGGGCGCAAACTTCTCGTACATGTACAATTTATCCGCCTCCACCGGCAGATTGCGCACGTATATGCTGATGGGCAGCGACCCGTCCTGACCTCCCGGGGCGCCTGCGGCCCCGCCAGCCGCCCCTCCCACCCCGTTGGGCATGAAGCTCCCCATTCCCGCCTGGGGCTGCACGCCCAACAGGCCCGGGTTCGGCAACACGAACTGGTTGAGGGCGGCGCCCTCCGGCCCACCCAAATTGGCAGCCAGCAGCGCGCCAGGATTCTGCAGGGCCAGCGCGTTGAGCGCCTGGTCGCCCGCGAAGCCCTGGAGCCCAAACTGCGGCAGCTGGCCGCCGCCGTTGGCCGCCAGGGGGTTGACATACGACTGGGGTTGCCCCGGGATCCCCCCGCCAGCCACGGGCTTGCCAATCCCAGCCCCGGCAGCCGCAGCCCCGGCAGCCTCTGGCTTCTGGTACGGGTTGAACCGCGGCTCGCGGCTCTGCCGCCGCTTGGCCTTGCGCTCCTTGTCCGCCGCCGTGTCGGCGTACTTGACCAGCAGCGGCTCGCCGCAGCCCGCCGGCGTCTGCCCGTTGAGCATCTCGATCGCGCGCCCCGCCTCCAGCACGCTGGACATGCGCACCAGCGCCACGCCGCTCCGGCCCGCCTCCTTGCTGTGCAGCACGCGGCACTCCACGATCGTGCCAATGGCCGAGAACATAGTCTGGATGTCGTTCTCGGTGTAGGTCCCCGGAAAGCCGCGCACGTACAAATTGTCCGACGGGCTCTGCTCGAGATCTTCGCCACCTCCCTGCCCCCCTGCTTTGCTCCCACGGTCGTTGACATCTGAGTCCGCGAACTTGACCTCTATAACCAAATCGCCCACCTGGGCGCCGTTCATGGTCTCGATCGCCGCCATGGCCTCCTGGACGGTGCCGAAGCGCACGAAGCCGAAGTTGTGCCCCGCGGGGTTACGCGTGCGCATCACGCGGCAGGAGGTGATCGTGCCATAGGGCTGGAAGAGGTTCTTCAGCGTGGGCTCATCCACCGCCGACGGCAGGTTTTTGACATAGACGTTGCTGTGGCCGTCCCCGTACATTGCGGCGCTCGACCGGGGGGGCTGCTGCGCCGGCGCTGCCGTGCCGCCTGGAGTCGCGGCCTGCGGTCCGGAGCCGGGCGCTCGCGGTGGGGCTGAAAACTGCGCTTCTGAGATGCCGGGCGCTGGGCGGTGGGGGCGCAGCAAGTGGGGCGCACAGTGGTGGCGTTATGCTGGGCTTGCCCGTTTTTGCCCATTAGGCCCTTTTGCGTGCTTCCCTGGGTCCTAATGGCTCTTCTGAAGGACCTAAAAGGGCCCCTGCATGTCGGCCTTTTTTGAGTAAACACCACCATCAAGAAAAAACCTTGCATGTCGAGGCGTGAAGGTAGGCAGCAGCTTCCTATTTCGCCCGAATAAGCAGAGACCATGATTTGTTCGGTGAGAACCGCAGATATTGCGACAATCCGACCACTGAGCTGCGGTGCTTGACTAAACAACAAAGCCAGCAATTGCCAGTAACACTATTGCCACTCCAACTGCTGCTGTTGTCAAGCACCAAGATCGGCAAAACTGTAATGAGTGTCAAAATTACCGCTGTAACTTTCAAATTCCTAATAGCAAAACAACTGGTGATGCTAGTTGGCGGACAAGTTAAAAAACGCGAACGTGATCACACCGAGAAGTGCACCTGTCATCATCATCGTACAATCGTCATTCGTTTTTTTACCTTTTTAACTTCATTCTTTGCTTGAAGTACAAAAGAAGGCAGCGAGGTAGCCATCGGCTTCCTATTTCGCTCGAGCCAAGCAGCGTCTCAGATCAGTGCATTGAGATCGAGTGGAAAACACAAACGAAGTCCATGAATCCGTTAGCTTCTGGTGCGAAAAAGCTTTGTGTGTACAGGAGAAGTGTCACCACGGATGCCCAGCCCCACCGCAAACACGCAAAGCGTGACTCCAGGCAGCCATGTCACGCCAGCCCACTCCCCCTCGTCACTCCCACCTCGCCCAAAACCGCTGACCCCGCAGCAGCTCAGCGCAGGCAGCTCGCGCGGGCCCCCCCTGGCCCGCACGGCGCCCGCGGCGCATGTTGTGGGAGGACGGCAGCCCTCGAACGGGGTGGATGGGCGAGCGCAGCACGTCCTACCAAGACGTTCTGGAGGTCGAGACGCGCCTGCCGCTGCCAACCGAGCTGGGAAGGCGCGGGACGGCACCGGCGCTGGTGGATTGCACCTCGGGGCAGGTGCACGAAAATGACTTCGCGGAGGTGGTGCTGGTTTGCGAGCCGGAGGGGCCTTCGCTCATGATGGGCGGGCTGCACCCGCGCGCGTCGCTGTTCGACAGGCCAGTGAATCTGGACCACAGCCGGCAACAGCACAAGAAATTTAGGCAGGTGTTGAGGTCGTATGGTCTGAGGGTGATCACGGTAAGGGAGGTGCTGGCGTTCGGCGCGGACGACCACGTGGCCGCGAGGCTGGGGCTGGAGGACTTGGCGATGAACAGTTTGAGCTACAGGCTGGCGGAGGGCGTGAGCATTGAGGACGTGCGCGAGAACGATCGGTTTTACCTCACCGACGACTACAAGCAGACGGTGCTGGAGGGGATGGGCGTGGCGCAGCTGATCGACGTGTTGATGTCCAACCCGACGGTAGGACAAGGCGCGTGGGAAGCAAAAGGACAGAACGGAAAATCGACTTGGCGCCAATTTGGGTGAAAGATTGGAGACGGCTGGCCGCGCAGGGCGCATGACGGTCGGTTTCTGTTGTTGGGGCCGTCGTTTCACATCCGCGCCTGCGTCTGTCGCGCCGAAGACTGCAATTGAGAGAAATGGCGTGTGGGCGTGCAGCTCATGGGGCTCCGATGTACGCTTGATCTAAATATGCCCGCGGAGATACTTTGCAGATCGCGCGGGACGTTTGTTGCGGTGCGTTGGGAAGTTGTGTGGCCTAGACGCTCTGCTTGCCGCACCTTGCTTTTCTGGCACTGCGCGCTGGGCGGTGGACGTGGGGATGTGGCGATGATATGTGTCGCCTGGGGTGGCAGGTGTATCTTTCGCCGAGCGACCGAGATACGGGGCTCAGGTCCGCCTACGAGTTCCACCCTCTGTCCAATCTGGTCTACACGAGAGATCAACAAGTCACGACGGCCAAGGGAATAGTCATGGGCAGGTTGCGTTCGTCGCAGCGACAGCGCGAGGTGGATCTGATGCGCTTCTGCCTCAAAAAATTGGGTGAGTCTGGGTGAGTGTAGTGGAGCGGGAAAGTGGATTGCGGGCACACCGTCTTGTGCGCCGCGTTGTGACAGTAATCTACGAAGGTGGATGTCACCTCTGGGCTGTGGCAAAGCGGGGACACTTGTGCCACAAAGTACAGCGGATCTTGCAGCTGCCAGGTTGATGATAGTGGTGTGGAATCGCTTGTCCACCGTTTTCCACAGTGAAGATGGCTTAAAAGCATTGGGCAGGCATTGCACAGCTGGTTCTGAGCTGTCTGCTCTGTGGGCTGGCATGCACTCGCATTGCATGGGGGTATTGTTCTCGTGTGCGTGAGCCAGGGATGCTGGGGTTTAGGGCCGTGCCGCCTGCATAGGAATGCAAGGCTGCATTCAAAGTGCGTCCACTGCAGCACACGGGGCCAAAGAAGATGTGCACAAAGGGGCTGTGAATTGCAAACACCTTGCAGAGTGGATTCACCTCACAGGCCCTGTCTTTGCATACATTTGTGAGTGCAAGGAAGTGAGGACTTGCAGAAAGAGGCATAGGCCGACCCACTGTGTGTTTCTGGTGCACGAGATGCACCCACAGTGCTTGCAGTGCTAAAGCACCCAACCCCTGCAAAAGTTTTGCCTGCATCTGAACCTTGATTGAAGTTTTTTGTTTCAATTTGTCTTTTAAATTGCTGTACCTGTGGCACTGCCTTTGGCTGCAGGTCTCCCAGTGCTTGGAGAAATACGTGAACCAGGGTTTCTGGAGGGTGGGGACTTTATTCCTGCTGGACGCGACTTGTGCTTCATCGGAATTGGCCTGCGGTCAAACTTTAGGGCATGCCAACAACTAATGGACAACGACTGGCTCGGCACTAGGAGGCTGGCTGTTGTCAGTGATGGCTTTGAGCAGCACCAAGATCGCATGCACTTGGACTGTGTGTTCAGTATTACTGGAGACAAATGTTGCATGATGCTTGAGGAGATGATGGGCATGGACTCTCCAACAAGAAGGCTTGTCAGCGTTTACACTCGAACTTGTGGAAATGGTGGAACATGCAAGTATGAGTTGACGAGGTAGGTGGTGAGGCAGAAATGGGCAACGTCGCTGTCTGTGTCTGTGGGAACGCAGGTCTTTGTCTTGCCGTCACTGAAGTGTGACAGCAAAAACGAGTCCACCGGCGTTGGTGGAAGGTTTATAACCTCTGGAGAGCCCAGTGCAACAAAAATACGGCTGCAAAGCTCTGCGTTGCTGGAATAAGTATCCCAGGACTTTTTGGGCCACGAAGGGCCTCAAGAGGCGGGCATATTTTTTGGTTCCACTTTGAGAGGATTCTGCACCGGCCTCCTGTGGATGCATACTGTCTCTGGTGGCACAAACAACATCTAGCTTCTCGCTATGTATCACAACTATATAGATATATAAGTGTTAACACAAGTATAAATATAAACATATGTATGAACATGTGTTTGCGTATATGTTTGTGTTTATTTTCTTATTTATTTAATGTAAGTCAATTGCTGAAACTTCCACGTGGTATCGTCCGGGGGTGCACATTTTGATCCCGTTCAACAAACGGTTCCTGTCTGACGCAAAATGTCAAGCGATTGAGCACCGTGCGTACGAGGATACCTAAAAGACAACATCTATAATTGTGGGAGATACGATGCGATAGGTTGCGATGGTTGAATGAAATTGCGATTAAGTTTTTTGCAGTGAAACACAATATCCGTAACTTCCAAATTCGAAATCTTATGTCAGTGCTCTGTGGCTGAAATGGAAACGGTCACGCAGGGAGCATGTGGAGTTCAGCCAATTCATGAAGGAGGAGGGCTACAACATAATTCCCATTAAAGCAGAGCACCAACTGCAATACGCCTGCAATGTGCTGAATTTGGGCGGAGGCAGGATCCTGTCCGTCCATCCATTGAGCGCACGACAGCTGGTTCGCTCGCCGCATTTTCATGGGACAGTGCAGGTGAGCGAGTTGCCGTTCACTGTTCTTCAACGCAGCTTGTTGTTTAGTCCAACTGAACATCGCATTCAAGCGTCCAAATTGCACCCTACCCTACTCTCTCGTTTGAGCAGAAGACGTTTACGTCTTGTACAACACCAGCGCGCGGGACTCGTTACCTCTCTGCGGCTGACGACAAGGACTGTGCGACTCGCAGGTCATCGAATTCTCCTCCATCACGTCAATGTACGGGGCGGTGCACTGCAGCACCCAGATACTGCGGCGGCAGGCGAAGCCCAGGCAAGGGTGGCCCAGGACCCGCCCCTCTTCGGCCAGAGTGTCAGACTCATCCATCGTGGACCTTCCCAGGTCGGAGATGCCCAACAGCGAGGACGAATCAATGCCCGAGAACGGAGGAATGCTGGATCGATTGCTTTGAAGGGGCCCAGAGCTGGACGAAAGGGTGGTGGGGTGTGGGGCTGTCAACCCCGTGGGGTTTCATTGGGTGATGGGGTTTCATTTAGCATTATTTCTTGAAGCGGAGGAAATCTCTGACGGAGATTACTGTACACTATCAGGGCTGGGCTGCTGGGTATTTGTTGCCAGCTGTACATATGGTTTTTCTTGCCGATTTCATGTTATTGCATTGTGATGGTGGGTGCGCTGTAAACTTTACCTGGAGTTTGGGCACCGAAAATGTTGCCTAACAAGTCGCTGGGCCTTGGCCCAACCTGTGTAGAACACCACACCGTGCCTAGAACGCTGTGGGGCGAACTCATAGCTGTGTTGCAGACTGGTGCGGCTGGGCGCCTTGTCTTTTCCCGCCCCCCTGTCTCTAAGGCGGTGTTCCACTGGATATCCAAAACCGTTAGGCTGACAGCGCATACTGTCCCATTCAACCTGCCCACTTTCGAAATCAGCCCGTGGCACCGAAACAGAGGTAGCGAAACGAACGACACCCGACTCTCAAGGGGACATGGCTATCCTCAGGCTTATCATTTGCGCGAAACTGCTTTCATTCTTGAGCATGCGTGTGTGCATACATGGCTGCTTGCATGTTTACTCATATATATGCGTCAGGTATGCGCCATCTGCATATAGCGCATGTAGTGCTGAGGCTCGAGCACATCGGGGTGCTCGTGGAACGGCAGCCGGGCCCGCTGGAGTGGTGAGAACGACCGCTCGGCAGGCTACGGCCCTCTGTGCTGCGTATCGGGTCCCAGTAACTGCTGTAGACGGCGCCTCTCGGCAAGATGGTAGCAGCCCTGGCTGGATGCCCCAGGAAACCACTTGCCCACCGAAAACAGGAATTGCTGAGCCACCACCATCGGAGCATAGATGACGTGTAAAACGCTCCATTATGCTTCCATGCTCCGTCGGCACTTCAACAGAATGCAAACCGCCTTTCCGCCGGAGGCATAAAATTACTCCCCGTTCTTGTTTGCTGAATTTCGGTTCTTGTTTTCGGACACCCTAAACCCCAACTACTGATCCACGCACCGGGACTGGCCTTGTCAGCGGAACAAAAACCGAAATTCAGCAAACAAGAACGGGGAGTAATATATTCTCTCTGCCGGACATCCCACTCAGCCCCAGGTCAGCGTTGGAGGTGACGTGGGTCCGAATCCAGGCAATATCCAGCGGCGTCCGCGCCAGTGGCAGCATGCCACGTCTTGGTTCCACGCACCAGCGCCGAACGGCCAGGGCCGAGGCGTACTCGCGAGTCGCGCAGCGCAGATGGCGGCGATGGTCTCCCTTGGAAGGACCTCCGGCGCGCTGAAGTTGCGAATGCTGGGCCCCTGCGCTCCCGGCACCTTGCGCTGCCTCTCGCTGGAAGGCGTTCAACAGATGCCGGAGCGGGAGAAGGCCCAGGAGGTGGGTCGGCACCGGGGGGGGCGTTCATTGCGGGAAGAGTTTGTGCCCATGCGGTGGGTGGAGACAACTGGCCCAATGGGGACGGGGTGATATTGGCCTATTAGTTTTGGTCCGAAGTGCGGGATCGATGTCTTGAAGCGTCGGCTGTTTGTCATTGAGTTTGAGTCGCGTGTGCAAGCCCGCTTCGGTTCGTGTTGCGGCATCGATTTGTCGAAGGATTGGGGGCATTCGTCGTGAGTGAGATGTCGCGCGCCGACTCGTGCCTGCCGCGTGATCCAACTCGTTGTTGATCTGACGCCTGTCGAGGAATTTGTTCAGGCGGTCTACTTCAACAAGCAAGAGGAGCAACTTCTCCGAGGGCTTCTGAAAAAGATCAAGTCTCAGGCGGACAAAGTGAGCAGTCCACACAACGGCCTTTGCGCGCTGTATGTCCTAACGAAGGGCACTGATTTGCAAATTTTTTGTGCTCTGTGGCTTGGGAACCCTGTGCTGATCCAGGAGGGTAGTCGCCGCCCGAGCGTGGCTGTGATGGTGATGGCTTGAGAAAATTGCCGCGCAAGAACCTGGGTGTGTCTTGTGGGAAGTGCCGAAGGTCCCTGGTGTATTTTGTCGCCATGGGACTCACGGACAGCATGTGGTGGTGATCATTGGAACCCCTGTTGAAAATGGATTCCCCTGCACAAGCAAGGAGACCCTGGGAGCAGTTGGAACCACTGGGAGCATCGCCGTGTCAATGTTGTGCAGGATCTCCTGGCTGCTCTCAGGCCCAGCAGCGCTGACTCAAGGAGCCATTCACTCAGTTTTGGGAGCGCCTGGCAAGGGCGCAGCGTGCCACCTGCGGCTGCAAACACAGTGTCACCAATAGTTTGTTATGTTACTGATTGGCTCACAATTTGACACGTAGGCGGACAAGCATGGCGCTGCAGGTCATCACGCTGCCGAAATGTCTGCACTCAAGGTGAGCAACCCCAGAAGGACCTGCAGATGCCATCCCGAACTCATTTTTCCTCAATCCCAAATGAGGGCATACCCTCTTGTTCCTTAGGCACCGCAATTGATTCGGCTTTGAGAGCAGCCGGTGCTGGCAGCAACATGTTTGCTGCACCTGCAAAGGTGCTTATGTCGACAAAGTCGTGTCCTTGACATACCAGCTAGACTTGAGGCCTTGGCACGCAAGGGACCAATGGTGCTGACTTTTTCAACTCAGAATGCTGATTTGCTTTGTATGGTATACAGGATATCATTGGCAAATACAATGTGTCCCACGACGACGTTCAAGGTACAGTGCTTGATGGGTTCCACAGCAGATCCCTTTTAGAGATTATGTGAATGCTGGTGTTGCTTTCTATGCTGAACACTGGATTACAATTGCGATAGAAACGCCGTAGGACAAAGAGACTTGGGAATTTGAGGCGCTAACATTGCCATGCTAACTCGTTTGTGGTGTGTGCCTGCAGCTTTGCTGGACTGGAAACACAGTTAGGTTGAGCAGCAAAAGGTGCAAGGGGTTGCACAGCGCCTCATATGTGCTTGTGTCCACGAGGGAGAAGTAGCTGCCTGGTTCGATGGCTGGTGATCCTGACGTGGGTTAAAGGTGGACGCTGCCATTTTGATGGATTATAGAATGCTCATGGTGTTTAGCACATTCTTTGCGATGGGTGTGTCTAAGCATGCGAGATGTAGTGAACGTTGTGTACTATCTTGATGCAAGAACATCTGATGGGGATTTCATTCATGCACTGCACTGCAGCTTGAGAGTCGCAGTGTCCATCTGCACCAGTGCTCCACAGCAAAGGCCCTGCATCGGCTAAATGACGTGCAGAGACCCTGTTTTGCTTTGTAAAGACGAGTGTTGTCTGTGCAGACTGTAAGTGCTATGTGCCGTACATGTACGTACATACTATATGTAGCATGTGCACGTGCAATACAAGCCACGTGTATTGAGAGAACTTTTATTAGGGTTCCACAACTCACTGTGAATCAATGCGTACAACGACTTGATGGGCACATCACTACTTCATGGAAAGAAGGGATTTATGAAGAGAAAGGGGCACTGTGGACTACAGCGGTTCTCCGAGGGAAACTCCAGGCCCCTGTGAACTCCACGGAATATGCATCCACGGAATAACAGCCTTGTGCTATCTGCAAGAACTGTGATTGCTTGGTAGTACTTAATGGTATTGTATTTTCTATTGTGTTGTGCTCGCGATCACGAGTGCGTAACAAGAATGGCAAGTGGGCAAGGGCGGGAAAGTGCATTGCTCCAATTGCAGTGTTCCTGCCTCTACCCCTTATCGAATTTGTGGCATTCACCTGCATCCCCTTGCCGCGTCTGATCGCGCAGCAAAGCTGCCTACTGCGCCACAGCAACCGTGCCAGGCCAAAAAAACGTGGCGCTGCTTGGGGCCCGTCGGTATTGAGAGGCTACGAAATAGGCAGCTTACCTAAAAGTCTGCCACAAATTCTCCCAGGCTGTCCCGAATTCAGAACCTGCCTTTGCAACGTCGCACACAAAGTGTCGGTGATGAACACGGACGGGGTCGACTTGTGGCAAAGTCTGAGGGGGCTCGTGGGACTAGAGTGCTCGACAACGGATTGCAACGGAACAAACGGTCCCCTTGGGGCTCAGCCTCCCAAAATACAGGGTCGTGCATTAAGATCATTGACTCAATAAATGCAGCATCAACCGCATGTCCATCAAGCACTGTTCGCCCTCCTCAACGCACCCCCATGATGGCTTCGAGCCCTCGCCCCTGCACTTCAAAACTTTGCCACAAATTCGTCTGGACGGTCCCGAATGCCGAACTCGCCTGGAAGAAGCCGCACGCGAAGCGAGGGTTATGTGACATGGTCATGGCACACGGACTGAATGGAGGACACGGCCAGAAAGGGACATCGCTGTGTGGGAACTGTGCGGAACTCGGTTGCCTCCGGCTCGTTCTCAGACGGCCTCCACCGGAAACCCTTCCCGACTGCGGAACCAGCCGCTGGCCTATCAACGGCATGTCCATTAAGCATCATTATCCGCCTGAACGCGACAAATGATGACTTCAAGCCCTCGCAGCCCCCTCGCTGTAAACCGCGCCGCCAGGGCCCGTGCGCAGCGAACGCCCGCAGCCGCGCCAACATGCCGTTCAGGCGCTACGTGGAAGTGGGCCGGGTCGCCATGATCAACTACGGTCCCGAATACGGCGACCTGGTCGTGATCTCGGACGTGGTGGACCACAACCGCGCGCTGGTGGACCATCCCGACGCCAAGCGCCGCTGGGTGGTGAACTTCAAGCGCCTGACGCTCACGGACTTCAAGCTGGAGATCCCGCGGCTGGCCAAGAAGGAGGTGCTCAAGAAGGCGGTGGAGGATGCGGACATCTTCGCGAAGTTCGACAAGACGACGTGGGGGCAGAAGCTCGCCAAGAGGAAGGCGAGGGCGGAGATGACCGACCTGGACAGGTACAGGGCGATGATGGCAAGGAAGAAACGGTCGAGGGCCATCAGGGGCGCATTCAAGCAGATAGCCAGCGAGGCCATGGACAAGGAGTGAATGGGGCTCGTGTGTGTGAGGAC